TCTGGCCAGGCGCTGGCGGCACACGCCTTTAATCCCAGCACTCGGGAGGCAGAGCCAGGTGGATCTCTGTGAGTTCAAGGCCAGCCTGCTCTACAGAATGAGTTCCAGGACAGGCACCAAAACTACACAGAGAAACCCTGTCTCAAAAACAAAACAAAACAAACAAAAATACCCAAAATGCAAGACTGTGTACTTTATAAAGAAAAGGGTTTATTTAACTCATGATTTTAGAATCTAAAAGCCCAAGCTTAGGTATCCCCATCGACTGGCCTCTGATGAGGGCTCCCTTGGCAACGTTACCATGTGCTCGCAGGCATCATGCCAGGAGCTTATGCAAAAAGTAGGGATTTAATCATCAGATAGGAAACTAGAAATTCAGGGGCCTGCCTCTCTGGTAATAACTACTTCTCACGGCCCTCGTGAGGCACCACAGGAAAGAACTACCTTAAGCCCTCTAAGGACAGTTCCCTTGCCGCCTCCCACAGGGCTCTCCCCTGCCTGCCCCTTTAAATAATTTTATTTTACTGAGAACTTCATACATGAGCGATACATTTACGTTACTCTCACCCTCCTCCCTTCAGTTCCTCCTGTGTCCCCATTCATGATCTTTCTCTAATTATTACTGTTACATGTGTGTACATACGTGTATGTACTACACACATGTGCACACATGTGTATAACCTGCTGAGTCCCTTAGCTTTGCTTGCATCATGCACCTATGTCCAGGGCTGACCACGTGGGATTGGCGACCTATGCGGAAGCTCATCCCTGGACGAGGTTGTGTTTCTCGACAAGAGCTGACGTCTGCAGCTCCTCCTTCGTGGGTGGGACCGTGTGGAATCTCCCCTGTCGGTGCTGGGGCGTCAGTTGGTGTCATCTTTTTTTTGCTCTGTGGAGCCACATTATTGCGTGTTCACGGGCGCTGCTGCCCTGTCATACACAGAAGACACTGTCTCCCGGCAGACATCCTGCTCTTCTGGCTTTTAGACCCTCCCCGCCCCTCATTGTGACTTTCCCTGAGCCCTAGGTGCAGGGTTACATTGCACTCCTCAGTGACTCCTTCTCTGCACAGTGGCCAGTTGTGGATCTCTCTAGTAGTCTCCATTTATTGCAAAATAAGAACCTTCTTTGGTGGAGAGTGAGCACTACACATATTTGTGGGGATAAGGATGAGTATTTAGAATACAGTTAGAAATTATCCTATTTCAGGAAGATGGCAGTGGTAGATTCTCTTCTCCGGTCTCTGACCTCTCTAGCCATGGGTAATTGGCAAGGTTTATAGTACCAGGTACGATTTCCCTCCTATTGAGTGGGCTTTAAGTCCAATTAGACAGGTTTTAGTTACCCCAGAGATAAAGGACTACTATTGTACTATTATGTATGCCTTGCCAATCCAGTCATTTTTGTGGTTGGTTGGTGTTGATCGCTTTTCTCCCTTGGCAGTTGGCATAGCACCTTTGAGTACTGTGAGGGCTTGTCCTCAGGGAGAAGGCTTCCAGGTCAGTTCCAGCTTGATTTTTCTGAGTTCTGTGTCTGAGTGTGCGGAGTCCTCAGCAATCGGTTCTACTTCTGGGAGGCAGTCAAGGACAACACCAATATCCTGTATTGGTTGGGGTGTCTCTTGGAGTCCCTTGACCAACAACTCAAAGAGAAGTTTCCATGCCTGACTCTATTGTTAAATAGTCTTTGGCTCTTGGGGCATCAGCCCTAGTGGCATAACTTCATTTAAATTACTTATATACATATACACATGGTCCTAGTTAGGTATTACTCTTGCTGTGATAAGACACTTGGGCCACAATCAAATTGGGGAGGAAAGGGTTTGTTTGGCCTACCTTTCCACAGCACAATTCATCATTGGAGAAAGTCAGGACAGGAACTCAAGCAGGGCTGAAACCTGGAGGCAGGAGCTGATTCAGAGGCCATGGAGGGGTGCTGCTTATTGACTTGTTTCTAGTGATCATCCCAAGGTACTGGTATCTCCAAAGTGCACATGTACTTGTATATTAAATGTGTTTTTAAATAAACCTAAACTCACATTTCCCTATTGCTTTTTCAATCACCCTAGTATTCTTTTTTCCATTCCCCACCCCCTCTTGCCTAGTGACTCCCTCTATCCACTGCCTCCAGATAAAGTCCCCCACTCATTTTCCCATTTCCCCTTCATATCTTTAGATATGAGTATGCATCTGCAGAAAGCAGGAGAGAAGGACTTTTAAAGGTCTTGTCACCTCAGTACCATCACACTGAGGACCAAGACTCCAATAACTCAGTCCTTGGAGGACAAACAGACCATAAACACATGAACCCGTGTTATGCAATGAGATGCAGATGGTAGACAAGAATGGTTGAGCAAGAATGCATTTATGTCCTGTGACTAGAGTTGGGAGCATTTTTTAGAACTAATGCAATACAGACCCCCCTGCATAGTTGTTTATTGTGAGGGAGAAGGTTGGGAGGAAATAGTCAACAAAGCTGCTTGTTCCTGTATGAGGAGAATGAGCTGAGATCAACCTGAGATGAAGGGGAGGCAGTACTTCTCTGAGTAAGATAACCTGGGCAGTGAGCTTGAACAGGGGCTGGGTTTAGAAATACAATTAGGAGCAATGCCGTCGTAGGAGACCTTGGAAACCGTCTAATGCATACACCAGTTTACAGTCAAGGAATCTGAAACCTGGGGTCTTTCTGAGTTTCTTGCCCAGGATTAGTCACAGCTAGATGGGGCCAGAGCTAGGATTGATTCCTTCCACATGACTGAATATGAAAATATATTAATAACAGAACCGAGATGGTGGCAGATGGTGGAAATACTTTGTATGTGTAGAGAATAAGTTTGCAGAGATGTGATTCATCATCTTAAAAGAACTATTGACTAGCTTTTGGGTTGTTAAGCAGAGAAATTAAGAAAAGAAAGCTGCAGCCATTCATGATGATCTGTCTAATGGCACAAGGAAATTACCTTTCTGGCAACATCTGAAACATTTTATTAATAGTAATAAACATAGTAGTGATGATATTAACAGCAAGTATCTCTCATTGGATGCAAGGCGTCATCGTATCAGACATTGCGTCTAGTGGTGTGAAGAGCAGCAACTGTGGGAAGCAGGTGTCACTGGGCCGCTTTGTGGGTGAAGAAACGGAAGTCCACATAGGTTGAGTGATTCCGTGTTCACACGGCCCATCAGCTGTTGGATCAGACTTTGAATCCTTGTGTATTTGAGTCTCAAGCTTCAGTAATGGCTAACAACTCTCCTTTTAAAGTTTCCTCTAAATTAAACAAACAAATGTAGATGAACAGTCTTATTAAATAAGAAACACAGAGCCAAATTCAGAGTTAAAAGCCCAAGAGGTCAGAGCTGTAGTAAATAAAACACTGATTGGCCAGTAGCCAGGCAGGAAGTATAGGCGGGACAAGGAGAGAGGAGAATTCTGGGAAGTGGAAGGCTGAGGTAGAGAGACACTGCCAGCCGCCGCCATGACAAGCGAGGTGTAAGGTACCGGTAAGCCACGAGCCATGTAGCAACTTATAGATGAATAGAAATGGGTTAATTTAAGATATAAGAACTAGATAACAAGAAGCCTGCCACGGCCATACAGTTTGTAAGCAATATAAGTCTCTATGTGTTTACTCGGTTGGGTCTGAGCGGCTGTGGGACTGGCAGGTGAGAGAGATTTGTCCTGACCGTGGGCCAGGAAAGAACCAGAAAAACTCTAGCTACAAACAAACAAACAAACAAACAAACAAGCAAGATGTTTAGCAATGAAGTGCAACCAAAAATTTTTTAAAAATCAATGAAATCCAAAGTATTGACATTAATGTGAAAGATAAAGATTTTGATGAGAAGAAATGTTGACTTTAAGAAGAGTTTATGGCTTCCTGTTGAAGTGCCATGCGATCTTGCTTGTTCTAGCTTGGTACGCCTGTCTCCCCACGCGGGTGTTGTGGTCACTTAGGCCCCTGCCACTTTCCCTTACCTAGCATCTCCCACTAGACCTTCAGACAGTACTGTGTGGCACTGTTTGAACTTTATCTATTGCTAATCCTGCCTCTGTTTTCATTTGCTTTGATAGAAATGTCGTGTTTCTGTGTCGTTATAAGCTGATGGTCACATGTGATCTGTAATAGCCTCATTTTTGGAGTATCTAGAAGAAACCACAGAATTCAAGAAGGTCTCAGATTCTGTTAATCATACCAGACCTTCATTGTTTCTACTTAGTGAAGATCAGTCCTGCATTTCCCCCTGAACACTATTCCAGGGCCATCTGCCTGGGCAGGGTAATAGTGGGGACCCGAAACACCATCACTCCGTGCAGACTCCATTTAAGCCTGGCCAGTCTTCATCCGTCCTTCTGCCCCGGCCCTTGGCTGTACATCCTCCCCCAAACCATTTGCCACAGTGCGAGTGTTTCAGAACGACGTCAGCTTTTGAACTCAGCTTAGGAGTGACCTCTTTCTGAACCCCTTCCTATTGCTTCTCCTTGTCTTCCACTTCTCCGCGCTACACATCGTCCTCACCACCCCCTCTTCATCGTCCTCACCACCCCCTCTTCCTGGGAGCGCTCCTTGTCTTCCACTTCTCCGCGCTGCACATCGTCCTCACCACCCCCTCTTCCTGGGAGCGCTCCTTCTTGTCCCTCTGTTAGAACTTCATGGCCTCAAGCCCATCTCCTGTACAATGCTTGGAACTGTATGTGACAATCCTCATTCTCTCTGGCGTGCTGTTAGACCCCTGCTTCTGGGCAGCCAGACCGGCCCAGCACACGTCTCACTAACACATGTTTGAATGGGAAGCGGTTGCAATGCTCTGGCTGATTTCGGAAGCCAGGAGTCAAGGGCAGGAAAGGGAAAAGTAGACACCATTTTATTGGCTTGTGTCAAACTTGTGTGAATTGGCCAGGTAACACGGCAGACTCTGTGAACATGTGAATCAAATCATGTTGGAAGCAAGCTCTCTCTCAAGCATTAAAAGATGGTGTTGCTGTGTTTCCCTTTTGGTCAGGTGCTGTGATCGTCTCCACACCTCAGGACATTGCATTGATGGATGCCCGCAAGGGTGCAGAGATGTTTCGAAAGGTCCACGTGCCCGTAAGCATTTACCCCCTCACTGGTAAAAGTATGAAGCTTGTCTAGCCCAAGATCCAAGCCATTAACAAAGCAGCATCCGAGTTTTAGTTGAACCTTTTGTAGAACTTCATAAGGCTGCTGGTTGATCTTTCCCATTACTATAAAACATACTTAAAGCTACATAAGTGTCCAAACATGATGCCGAGCAGGAAGAATTCTGAAGCAGGGTTCCAGGATTGCAAGCTTTCTAAAGAGCTCTGTTCTCCAAATGCTGCCAGAGTCACGTGAGCGTCTGTCTCAGGAAATGCTTTCCTGATAGACTGGACACCTGTGGGAAAGGAGGTGAAAGGGAGCTCCTTTTCCTCCAGCCGCCCACATTTTAACTCTCCATAGCCCACGTTCTTCTGGGGAGTGTTTCCGGATATTCTGTACATGACAAAATAATGTAAGAATGTAATAAAAATAGACAAAGAATAATTAAGATCAGATGGAGCCCAAAGTAAAGTCAGCAAACAAATTGCACGCCATTAAGGAACTTAAATATGCTATGAATTTTCTAGCAGCCAAAGGAAGAACACATGCTACCAATTAAGACACTGTCCATTTGCACATGGTTAAGACAAGCTGCTTGCTCGAGAGAGCCACTACCGAGACCAGACACAGACTTTCACTAGATTCTTGTGAGGAAGAAACTATATGTTAATCACACTCCTCTTCCTTTTTCCTGTAAGGAAAAGGGTCTGTCTTCTTGGGTGCCTCCACAAAAGCCCTGGAGGAGTACCAGAGGTCAGTTAGAACAAGACCTCTGTGATGCGTCTGTCCATGTGGCTCCCCAAGTGCACTTTAGATCTAACAGAACCCGGTAAAGGTGAAAAGAGAACCGACTCACAGATTTCCCCTCTGACCTCCACATGTGCATCATGCAGTACATGCCTGTGTTCACGTGTTTATACACCGTAATACTCAATAACAATTTATAAAAACTCAGGCCCATGTATTATCTTCACAGTTCTCATAATTCTCTAACCTGCCTGCTCTCCACCACAAACTATGTGATAGTTTTGTTTGTTCGGGTGTGGAAAGAACTCACAACTTTCCTCAAATTCTTCAGTGAGACCATGACACAGGAAGCAGTTCAGGGATGCTTTCTTAAGTGTTTTTCTCTGAGAGGAGCCTTGAAAGTTGTAAGCCGGTATGCATGGAAGACAGAAGGTGACCTTCCCCGCCGTGTGTCTACTCCCATGCCAGCTAGAGTGGAGCTGTGTCCCCTGACTAGACAAACGGCCACTGCTGAGAGAGAAGGAGCCTGTAAGGGACTCGCCTGTCTGCTTTCTCTCCAGGTCACCGCGGCTGTTTTCACTGGCGGACCCAAACACGTGACTAGTCAGTTTAGAGCCAGGGTTCTAGGCTCTGAAACTGAGCTGGGAAGAAATGTAAGGCGATGATAACCACATGGCCACTGCAGACAGAAAACTTTCTCTGTTGCCTGTGTTTGGAGCAGTGTGACTTTGTACTGTCCTCCAGGATAAACTAGATAAAGAAATGGCTCTGCAGGTCACTGAGTAATGTGAGATTAAAATATAAAGCGGCAAAGAGACAAGCAGCCTCCTACCAAAATTGATGCACCAAGTTAACAAGTGATCTGTAATCCTCCCTGGCAGAAAGTAGGTATGAGGACCATTGGCCTGTTACTATCACTTCAGGGTCCCGGTGCTAGCCTGCCCTCTGCCTGCCTGCATGTGACTGCTGGGGTGAAGGTAGAGACATACGCCTACCACACTCAACATGAGCAATTCCTTGAAGGAGATTGGTTTTCAAAGAGCAGGAATCAGATTTTCTCTCTCGTTTCCTCTCAGAAATGATCATTTTTATAGTAGCAGGTCATTTCAACCATCGCTGTCATTTGAGATGTTAGTGGCTGTGGGTCGGGACCTTCCTGGACTCTGTTTATTCCAAGTCTGATGACCATAGCCGCCACATTTGGCATGTAGACTTTTAGTTCAGCTGTTACGTCCCTCTGACGCCTGCAACACTTCTTGACCTATAAATAATGAAGAAAAGAGTCTCATATGTTGTGATGGATTTTTTTCCCCCTGGTCTCCAAGACAGAGAGTAGGCCAGATAATTCCTACAGAACAGAACGGGGGGGG